AATTTGCATACTATTCCTTTAAATTACCCTCCTCACGTAACAATGCTTAACACTGTTATTCCAGATATTAAACTTCTTCTAGCAAGCCTCAAAATAAAGGTAGAACAGCGTGAACATAATTTCAAACTTAAGAGTATTCAAGAATCTTTAGACGCCCATGTAGAAGATTATAAACATAATCCATTCCAGATGATCGACTCAGTCCTTAATCTCAGAAAAACAACCATTATATTGAATAGATGTATTGATAATTCATCTTCATCTCGTAATTTACTTTTTGAAGAACCAGATGTTAAAAAAGAAGTTGTCAGACATTTTCAACAGGTTGCAGGCATCACACATTGTACTAAAGAGATCCCAGAAGATTAGATTTCTACATATACCCCATTAGACTCAATTGATTCTCGCATCTATAACAACTTGATGTCCTTACCTTCTGTAGATGAATAGTATAGAATCATTGATTGATTGACTAACAACAAAGCCTTAGGACAATCAAAGATTTCAAATGAAATGTTAAAACATTTAGGATCAATAGCGAAGAAATGTCTATGGTATATTATCTGTAGCTGTCTACAAATTTCATCAATACTTCATCGCTGGAATTTGGCATATATATACCCGATCCCTAAACCAAAATCGTGAGAATATGATTTAAATAACAGCTGACCAATAACCTTATTAGAAAGTGCTCAAAAAGCCTTTGTTCATCTGATTAATTCAAGATTTGCTGACATTTTTGTATAACACAACATTCTTAAAGGATTTAACTTTGCAGGCTTACCTTTCAAATCCACCTTTGACCCCATATATCTCTTCGATAACATTAAACAGAATGCTGTTCATAATAATACAGAATTATGGGTTCTGTTACAAGATATGTCTAAAGTATATGATCGTGTGAATGTCTTTACTCTTGCTGCAGCTCTTACAAGATTATGCCTTCCTTACAAATTTATCCAAACAATTTTGAGACTCTTTCTTCCTAGATTCAACCAAGTTTTCACAGTGCATGGCAATTCTGATACTTACTTAGTACATTCAGGAATAGATTAAGGTAAAGTTATATTATCACTTTTGTGGTATATATACTATGACCCACTTTTATGCGCTATCAACAATTCTCCGCATAGATTCATTTCAGAAGTCGAATGGCGTTCTGATACCCGTCTTCCTATTACTAATAACTCTTACCTAAAAGTTTCAGCACTTGCTTATATGGATGATACCCTCTGGCTCGCTAAATCTTTGGAGAACCTTACAAAAATTACATCCATTGCAAACAGTTTTTTCGCTTTTAACGATATCTAAGTGAATTGGTCAAAATCAGAACTTCTGGTCAATATTTCCCAATAACGTTCTTTTGAAATCAGTTATGATAATACTATATGGTTGATCAATGCACTTTCCCCTAAAGCTAGTGTTCATTACTTGAGTGTTTGGATCTCACTCAAGTCTAATAAGAGTTTTATTTATAATCAGATACACAGTGAAATTAAAAAGGCCATTACCATTATGAAGCACAAACGCCTTACAGACTCACAATTAATTATATTTTTAACACCATTTTCCTTCTAAGAATCGAGTATAGGTCTCAACTTACATTGCTATCTGAATTATAATGCAAAAGCTTTGTCGCTACCTACTTAGCCTTTATCAAAAGGAAACTAAAACTTTTCATTCACACCCTGACGGATTTGTTCCATTCACATTACTTTTATAATCTGACCTCCTTATATCAAAGATTAATCCAGAACTTCAGCAATGCTTTACTACAAATGTTCAATGAAACAAATATACTTAGAAGATCCTTTATTTACGTACCCTTCAACTTCAACAGAAGGAATAGCTCTTTGATAATCCTCTCTTCTACTGGCCCTTCTTGAAAACATCATGAGCTGATGATTGGCTCTCATCTCTTCTTTGTGACCTCAAAGTAATGAAGCTCAAACTTAATGTACCATCAGCTTTATCAAATAGAATTTTAGAAGAAGATTTCCCGATTTCTGAACTTTTAAATTATGAATACAGAAAGCATGCTCCTGGACTACGAAAGTTCTCCTTGCTTTTCATGAAACAACTCACTAACTATCAAAGGAAATTATATGTTCACATTTCGTGATTTGTATACTATTACACATCCAGTTACCCGTAATTTTCAAACTGCAAGTTGGTTTAGAGCTTTAGAACTTCATCTTAATCCTGATCAAGACAGAGTACTATCATTTGCAAATATTTTCAAACACAAATACTGTTATGGTTACTCCATCACCCCTCCTATCTACTCTTCTCATACCCCTGGATTTACAGTTGGTTGGCATACTTCGGTCAATTACTTTGTTTTGGGAAGAATTATTAAAATTGATCAAGACACAATACATCTAATGCATTACGTACCTTCATTTGGACCTGATCATATAACAATCCTCGATTCTTGTATTCGTTGTCGAATTCATCAAGAATCTGCTATTAAATTTAGAGGCTGCTATGATAATTGTTGCTTTATGTTACCCATTTCTCTTTGTGGTAGAATTCCAACCTCATTAAAAAATGATCGTATTGACCGAACCCATAGTGTATTGTCTAACGGTGCACTATATGAACTCACCTAACCTGTTTTTTAAAAAACAGCAACCAGAGTTTATTTGTAGCCCAAAGAAATTTTACTGCACCTACCTTTGCAAATTTATTTGACAAATATTTGTCATCTCCATATAATTCCTAATTATTAATTTTATCTCGTTCTTTTTCTTCTTCTTCTATTTTAGAATTTTACATAGATGGATCCTTACAAGACATAGGTCTTCCCTCGATAAGAATGGATATTGCTTTGCTTCAGACTCACCAAAATTTACCAATGGTTTTCTTTTCCGCTGTCTTTGTATCCTCTTTTCCTTCCTCTTCATTACCTGAATTTGCAGCTATTTTTACTGCCTTACTTACAGCTTTCCCCTCCTATAATGTTACCTTTTATACTGATTTGGCAGTTATCATCTCTCAATTCAACAAATACAGATTCCTCCTTACAAAAGCTTCCACTGTTCACCCTACTCTCAAAATTAATAATTATGTGCATTGGTCTTGTTTTTTTGAAATAATGGACACCCACAACCTCGCTGTTAAAATGATTAAAGTCAAAGCTCACTCTGATAATATCTTCAATAACAAAGTCGATGCTCTATCAAAATCCTGTTTGGATACTACAGCTCTTCACCTTTACACAAATAACTCACCTCGATGCTACTTCTCACATAATAATGCCCTATCTTAATACCTATCAGACAATTTTGCAAAGAACTTTTCCGTGAACATTCTCTCTCACGGTTACTTCAACTTTCTGTTCTTGCAAAACACTCACAGCTCTATCAAATTAACTGGTTCGCCACCTTCTTCATACTCAATGACAATACAGCAACACAATCAATGTCCTTCTTTGCCTCCTTTGTTAGAAGAATGAAATATTAATGTCTTCTCAAAATGTTACCAACCTTTAAGATTCTCAAATTACGTCATTCATCTATTTATGATTCTTCACTCTTATGTCTCAGATGTGATGCCGCTGATGAAAACTTCTATCACATATGGATGTGTCACACTGTCAATTATGAAATGAAAAAGATAATCCAACAATCTAGAAGTTATTTAAAAGATATCACCCATGCACATGATTATGAAATTGATCAGCTGAACTGTTGGCTGCTCGATACTTATAACACTTCCGAGTTCTTTGCTCTTATCAGAGGCATAGTTCCAGTACCCCTCTTTAAATTCTTCCTCAAAAAACTTTCATCACAATGTTTGGCTTTAGCTGCTTACTTTTCCTTCATGCATCAAATCTTTGAACTTACGCAAAAAATTTGGCGCGATCGTTGTCAAATTGTTCATGATTTTGAAAAATCTTCCAATATTACCCTTGATTAAAAGGCTGCCAATTTTGTTACATCAGGTTATGATCTATCTTCTAACCCTTCCTTCCACTCTTTTAGTTCTCCTCCTATATCTTCTATGGTACGGATGGGATCCCATTGGTCAAATTTTTGGTGCAGTAGTGGCCTTGCCCTCTTTGCTTTCTTATATATTCTTACTCGAAAAGTGATTTTTTTAGCTTAGGTTATAAATTGATTTTGAGGAAGTGCAGGGTCAGTCTTCTATAGTTTTAGTCTTAGATTAGTTCTTTATGAGATTTTTGTAATTTCTTTTGTTTTTATTTGAATTTTTATTTTCTTACTCTCATAATAAAGATATTGCGAAACTACCGCACTTTAAAAAAAAAAAAAAAAAAAAAAATTACTTTTTAATTAAAGATTTACCCGTCACATTTTCCTCTTAAATTTGAATCCTGTCAAAAAACCTTTCTTTCTTCTTTTAGATAAGGCCAAGATGTAGTTCCTAATTCTTGGCATAATTCTTATAGCATACAGTATATATATTAACAATTAAACTTGCTATGTACATTGTTTTTGGACAAATTATTTATAATAAATTATGGGTCGAACCTGATATAATTAATCTTGAGATATCTTTTGATATCAGTACGTACTACACATTGTTTTAAGTACGATATTGTTTGTATATTTATAAACGATTTTTATATGTAAGCAGAAGGATTTATTTAAAAATATTGAAGTAATTATGACGCTAGAATTATTTAATAAAAAATCAAGTGACGGCGCTCTACACTTTTCAATTTCAATATTATTAACTTAATCACTAAATGTTAATAATTAAACTTCGAAAAAAATAATAATAAAAATCGGGGTAAATAAAATATAACGAGGTTACAACTTTACAAAAAGTTTTATGTATGAAAATAAAGGAAGACGAACTAATTTTTTATTTAATTGATCATCACATGCGTAACTTTACCCATATTTGTATCAGTTTCTGAATTTGGCAAGCAAGCACCAAATCTTGTTATAAACCTGTATGATGATTATAAATGAAGTTTCAAATTCGAAAGTTGAGATTTACACTTTGCATCCTTCACTTATTTTAATAAAATGAGTCTGATAAAATATGATGGAAACGTTCATCCGGATGAATGGATTAATGATATTCAAAATTATTATACGTTTAATGCGGCGTGTAAGTATGGATACAATATTAACAGTTTAGTAGATGATGCTACTATTAAACTTCCATCTGAAAATTATGGCATCGAAGAACTTCGTAAGATATTTAAAGAGGACATTTCGTTTTCAATATTCAAAAATGCAAATAAGAGAAAATTGCAATTATTAAAATATATTCCCGAGAGAGAAGGCGGAGATACTTTAAAATTTATTTCAAATTTTCGTAAGTTGTGTTATAATGCAGAAATTGATTTGGAAAAGCAAAAGAAATACCTTTACCAATCACTACCAAATAGCTATTTTATGACCGAGTTTTTTAAGAGAAGAGAAACCATTAATTCTACGAATGAATTGATTAAGGGATTTGAGGAAATCATTATAGATGAATCGAATTTAATTAAAAATGAATCCATCGTAGCTTTAAAGCATGTTGCTACAGGAAGATACTTGAGTTCAATTGAAGGTATATGTTATACAACTGGAAGTAAATATCAAGCGGTATGTTTTTTTTTATAATAATAATGTTATTATTACGATGCAACTTTACATAATTAACTTTCATAATCATAACAAATCTAGGTTTTTCCAAGTAATTTAGAGCTTGAGTCGAATGGGTTGTGGATAATCAAAGTTCATAATCCGCATTTTGATAATAAAGAACTTGCTTCTTACACTAACAATACTGCTTTAAGTTTCCAACACAAAAGTTCTGATAAGTTTCTTGGAATTAGCTGTAATTTATACCGAAGTACTTACCATAAATCTCCATCAACCGAGCACACAGAAGGTAACATTAATATTTTTTGTTATTATTATTGATAAAAAATTAAATTAATATTTATTATTAGTGAGTTGTAGTGAACAAATTAGATGGAGTTTTGGTAATAATACGTTAAAAAATTGTCAAGGGTATTTAAAATCAAACGATGTTATTAATCTTAGTACTATAGATGTAAATGGAAAAGAACAAATTTTACGAAGTCATGATTTTCAGTTTACTATAAAAAACGATACTTTTCAAGAAGTTGTTTGTCACAACGAAAGATTAAGAGGAAATGATAAGGTAATTTTTATTTTTTATTTTTTTTATAGAGTACATTTTGTTATTCAAAAAAAATTTTATCTTTTCTATTCCTAGTGGTGCATTGAACTAATCAAGCAGTGTTAATGGCAAAAATTATTCATTTTATTCATTACTTTTATTTTAAGTACAAATATTACAATTAAATCAAATTTGATCTTAATAAAATGATAACTTCTTTGAATAAACTACCATAAAGCATTTCCTTTTTAAAATTATACCATTAATGCAAGTAGAAATTATTATTCAATGTATTGAATAGAAATTTTGCAATTAAATTATCATTCGAATCTGACTATTTGAATTTATGATGTCAAAATTGGGTGTTGATAAATCAACACAAGAGGATGATCAGTTTCTTACTAATAAATTTCTTCTTACAAAGAGATGTTTAGAGTAAATTATTATTAACTTATAATATTCTAATTGAATTCGTCTTCGATTAAATGATTTAATCCACACTTAAATTTATTATTTTTATAACGAAACAATTTTTCAATTATAATTAATTTCTAATTTTTTATTCTAAAAAATTTTTTGTAATTTTATACATACACTCCCTACCAAAAAGTTTATTTTATAATAAATTTATAATTAATACATAAAGTATTTTATTTCTAAAGTTCCGGTGTGACCGATGTAAAGATAATTATGTTTGCAGATAACTCTTTGGAATAGGGATGATATTGATGATGTAAGAAAGACTAGTGATGCTTTCAATTGTTATTGGACGACCCAAAGTACAATGAATTGAAAGTGTTGCTGCGACTGAAGTGAAATAACTTCGACTGCGTCATTCAATTTCGTAGGAAAACAAAACCATGAAATAAATAAATTTTTGATTAATAATCATAGTCATCAGAAATCTCGATTCGTTTCCCAATAAATAAATATCAAATTTTCATTTGTCAATAAATAATATTGATTCCTTTCCCGCTGTTGACATACATATTTAATTGTTGGTGAGATTCGTAGGTGATTATCGTGATTGAATTCGCCCACACATGAAATAATGCAGGTGTTTATATGTGAGTAAAGTTATTAAATTCACGTTACGGACATATGATTTACTATTTTCGTAACTCGATTTTAATTGCAAACCCCCCATATGTATCTTGACAATAAAGATCGCATTTCTATGGGAATTACTTAGGTCTCAAAAGGTGGGTAACCTAAGAGAATATATATTCTACTTATTTGTTATATTGTCCAAGACTAAGTTAGTTTTTATCGAAATTTGACGCCACAATGGATATCCATTGGTTTTTTTTTATGAAACCGCCACTTTTTTTTCTTTTTTTTGAATATATTGTTAATTATTTTCGATAACAAATATTACTGCCACCTCATTGCGTTATTTCACACTGCATTCTTGCGTCTCAAACGGATTGATGTTTCCTGTAGAGTTTGATTGGGAACTTAATAATAGGGGTAATTTGTTGAAGCTGTTTTTAGACTATGGAGCTTGGGTGTCACTTATTTGTTATTTTTTTATAATAAGATTTAGCATTACTAACGTAACATGAACAACTTACATGTTCTTACACCCAAAAAACTTTTTTTCTGTATGTCACGAGTATTTAACTTGAAACTTATTAAAGGGATTAATTCTTTATAAAATCGGATTTTTAACATACGGATTTATACATTTTAATAATATAATATTTTTAAAATAAAATTAATAGAATTGAAAACTCATTATATAATAACTAATAACTTCTTTATTCAAATGAAAAACTCTATTAATCTTAAAAATTGAACATTTGTGTTGAATATATTTCTTCCCAGTTCCAAAAATGATTGATGTAAATTTCCATTCTTTTCTTTTTTCTCGACAAGCCATTGTTGTACATAATTATCACAGCCATTGGGAATACATAAAAGCTCAGTTTGGCAGTCAGGGATGCTTTTCATGTAAAACTGACAGGCGGCAATGATGGTTGGTACTTTATTTCTACACTTGTAATAGTGCAACTTTGTAATTCTATTATCGCTGTTGCGAGCGAGGATACTAAGTTCGTTTTGAAGAACGTTGAAGAATCCGGAAATGTCAGCTAAAGCTTGAATAAATTTTTGAAGTGAAGTACCGAGGACATCTTGAATAATGTGCGTGGCGGCTACAGCCAACTTTGATTCTTCTTCAATTGCAATTGCTTCACCAAGATCTTCCTTGCCTCTGTACCACAAGATTGGACTCGCGATGAAGTTTACGCCAGGAATAAGTGACAAGCCAATTGCCCAGCTTGTCTTAGCATTACTCGATTCTTTCAATTGTTTTGCTCTTGCGTTATACCACACCGCATCTTTTTCAAGCTTTTTCAATACAATATTCACGCTGTTTTGTTCGGATTTAAAGTTGGAAAGAATTTCCTCATGAAGCAACTTTGTAAAATAAGCCATTTCATGGTTTCTTTTGGCACCATCAGCCAAATCCTCGATACATTCTTTGAAATCATCAAAGCTTAACGCGGTATAGGTTTCAACGAAATCTTGAATATTTTCAACAACAATATTCGCAATTGGTAAAATCACTCTGTTGTAGACGTTGGCGTAATTGGTAATTTTACGACGAAGAGCAACGAATTCCTTAACAGATGAAGCATTTGTAGTGTAGCAACAACGAAGAGACATACAAGCGATTTTGTAGTTTATGGCAGCATTGCGTAAGTCGTCGCCAAATTTTACAAGTTCAGTTTCAGTTACAGTGCGGTTAGACATATATATTATTTTGAAAAAAAATGGATAAAAGTTGTCGATTTTTCTAATGACAAAAGAATGCCTTTATATAAGGAAAAGAAGTATGCCAATTTTTATATAACGTATTTAATTACGATTTTATTTAAGCCATATCGCCAAATGTGATAGTTCAAGATAAATGATAAAAAAACAAAGATTTAATGAAATTCTGTTATTTTTTTTTTCAAAAATTACTTTCTCACCCAATTAAAGTTATTAAACTTTTATTTTGTTTCATCTATTTCAAGAATTTATCGCCCCAAGGAAAATGAATTCGGTATTAACCGCAATATTGGCGAGTCCATTTGTTTAATTTTATCGTGGCAACTTTGTTTTCTTCATACGGACTTTTTTTTTTAATATTGGACTTAATCTTTAAATGGTTTTGCAGGCAAGTTTTGAAACTTAATTGTTAACCATAAAAAAAAAAAAAAAAATAGCTATTTAATATTACCAACAATTATGTAATGTGCTTGATATAAATGTCTAGAAAATAATAAATTTAAAACTTAATATTGAGAGATATCCATTATACAAGTCCGGAAGCTCAGAGATCTGAATTTGTGTTACGTTTGACGAGCACAAATTCTTGTTTTGGTTATCAGGTAAGACTCGGCGTGACAAACGGAAATCTCATGTTATTCATGACGCAAAGTTGACTTCCCCTGCGTAACCTTCAAAAAATTTCACGTGATAATATTTGTCACCGGTGTCAAATCCCTCCGCGTTTCATTTTTACTAAGTATTATGGGGACTTAGAAATTTTCTGTAATTAAAAATCTATTTGTCACCACTATACGTCAAAATGCCGTGATGCCGGCCATTTCATTGAGGGGTTACGCAGGGGAAGTCCGCAAAGTTATACTGCGGCGATAGTCAAGAAAGTAATCCAGATCATGTAACGCCTTTCATTAATTTATTTTCATAAAGGCGTAGCCAACGTACGAAAGTTTTCAGAAATGCTACTGGGGACCTACGGTTTTGACATTCGAATGTTGACCACAAAACAAAAACAAAAGCACATTGCTGATAATGACGATGATGAGAATTCCGTTTTAGGCTTTCCTTTGCAAAAATGCCAAACGCTTTGTGTACTACCTTTGTAGACTACGTTCTGTTCGTAAATAACTATTGACGTTATCATTTTATTGATTATTATAGAAATAAGCTGAGTTCTCTATTATCAAGGTATGCAACTATAAATAAGCCCTACACTATGAAATTTTGATTTTGAAATCAAAAAATAATCTGAAGGACATGAATATTGAGGTAGACTATCTATCAAGGGAAGAATGTTGTTCCATTAGTACCAGGAAATACCTAGCCTTCTGTCACAATCGTGATGATATATATGAAATATGAAAGATGAAGGAGCGGAATTAAGATTTCAATTTGGTGGATCGGTAATGAACGGGAATTTTATTGATTTTATTTTTTAGTTTTGTATTTTCAAATTATTTTTTATCGTAGAATTCTGGCTATATTACATGCAAACCAAAACATTTGATGGAACGCACATTCATGAAGTGTACAGTGGGTATCAAAATTCACTGGGCACTTAAAATTAGAAAATCGATGGAAACAAGTTCTTTCAAATTAAACTATTTATTGATTAATTAAATCAATTTTTATGAAATAAGTAAAAATGTGTATCATAATGAAATACATATATGTTAAAGTTTTTATAGATATCCAATCAGTAGTAAAATTTATATTATATATTTAATGCAAAATTTTCGTGTATTAATAAAACATTGAATTTTTTTTAGCTGTAATCTATTGTATTAAAAAATATTTTTTCTTTAATAGGTTTTAATTATTTGCATTTATACATGTGGAGATCGAATCGATACAGCCACAAGTCACGTGAAATACTAATCTTTTTAAAATTTTACCAAAATTTTACACTTTATCATGTAATTAGTATGAAATTTTGAGGATATAAATTTATTACAAGTATAATTAATAATGGAAATAGATTACTACTTGAAAATTTTATGTTTAATTCTAACTGAAAATTTGTATTAATACACGAAAATTTTACATAAAATACTGAATATAAAATATATGTGCATTTCGTTAAGATGCACAACTTAACTTATTGCATCAAAGGTGATTTAATTAATAAAATAAAAAGTTTAATTTGAAATAGCTTCTTTCGTCAATTTTCTAATTTTTAGCCCGGTGACTTTTGATACCCATTGTACAGTAGCCCAAGAAAGTATTCGCGATTTTGTAATTTTAGTAAATTTTTAATTTAAAATTCGATTTTTAGCATAAAAAATATTGTAACATTACATTGTCGATAAATCCTTAACAAGAAATATTGTAATGCTAAATTTGTTAATAAACTTTGATCATTTTTGTAAATTGAATGCCACTTTAATCGAAATGTAAAATGGTTAAAACTAAATAATAATTTTAAAAATGCTAAAATTGCAAGACAAATGAAATTACCTGATAGCACAGTTCGTTCTTTTATTAAAAAATATAAAAGACGGAAAATATTGAAAATTTACCACGACCTAGGCGGCCTCCTATAGCTACACAAAGGAAAAAATGATTATTTATTCGTGAAGTAATGAAAAATAGACGTGCTCCTTTACGGGAACTAACAGCCAATGTTGGTTTGAATGTTTCAACAACAACAGCTAGCAATTATCTTCATGAAGCTGGTATTAAATCTCATGTAGCAGCTAAAAAGCCATTTATTTCAGATAAAAATCAAAAGAAACGACTTATTTGGTGTAAAAAACATATTAATTGGAATATATCAGAATGGAATAATATTATCTGGTCTGATGAGTCAAGTGTAGAAATTGGCAAAAGTTCTCGACGTGAATTAGTATGGAGAAAAGTTGGTGAACGGTATAATTTAAACTGTTTAAGACCTACATTTAAAAGCGGACGTAAATCTGTTATGGTTTGGGATTGTTTCGTAAGTAATAGATTGGGACTATTAGTAATTTGTGAAGAAAGACGCATGAATTCTGATGACTATATAAAAATTCTTAATGATCATCTTAAGGAATTTAAAGCTGCTATAGAAACTGAATTTGGAAATACTCTCATCTTTTAAGATGATAATGCCAAAATTTATACTAGTAAAAAAACTCGTGAATGGAAAGAAAAGAATAGGATTATTTCGATGCCTTGGTCAGCCAATCACCAGATCTAAATCCAATAGAAATCTTTGGAAAATTCTAAAAGATAGAATTCAACAACGTAAACCATTTCCAAAAACAGTACAACAGTTAAAAATAGCCTTAAAAGAAGATTGGAGTAAATTGGAATCTAATTCTTTATCTAATTTGATTAATAGTATACCCAAGCGGTAATTGAAGAAAAAGGTGGACATACGAAATATTAAAACATATTTTTATATTCTTATTGAATAAAGTAAATATATAAACTTATTAAAAGGTGTTTAATTAATTGTTTAATTGAATTTAAACTTAATTTACTATAAAATTACAAAATCGCAAATACTTTCTTGGGTTACTGTACATTGATGAAAGTCAGTATAATTAGATCATAGTTTATGAGCTTTTCTTGAAACTCTTTGGCTGCGCTGAAAATATTTTTATGGGATGTAGCGCAATGCATGCATTGCCAAGGAATCTACTTTCTGATTCAGGGTATGCGTATTTTGTTAAGAATAAATAATTTTGTCTTTTTTTTCTAAACTTTCTTTTAATAATAATTAAAATATATCTATACGTATTGATTTACCAATAGAATCTCAAGCGTGACAATAAAAGAATTCGAATTAAACATTAATTACTGCTTTTACAAAAGGATTCTTCAACAATAATCATCAATAACTCATCTCGTCAGATATCTTTTCTGATTCTATCGATAGCTGTTACCTGAACTCAGTGAGATTAGTGGTTCACAGCTTCTCGTCATCGAGAATTGTGAGGTTAAAGCCTTGTTTGTTCATTGAAATGATAATGCTAAGGAAGATAAATTTATTGAACTTATAGCTGGTTATACGTGATAAAGCGATCAAAAGCGTGTGAAGTGAATCAATTTGTACGTACTGATATTTGTCTTTTTCGAGCTTATCTGATTTAATTAATTACTGCAAAACTGCTCATTTCAGATCGATATACTTTCAGTAGAAAGAACTATCCGTCTACTATCAATAATTACATTAATCAAGTTCGACTGTTATTTTCCAATTAGCAGATTTCTTGAAAATTATCCTTCAACTGATATTGATTTTGGTTCTTATCTGTTTAAATGAATCCAGTTTTTTTACAGAAGATCCTTAAACTTTTCAAATATACTTATAGCAAAAGCAAGCTCTTATCTACAAAAATTAATAATTACCTAAAAATAATGATTGTTTAAATCTTGTGAAAATTCTTTTATAGAGATCTCAGGGATATACGCTGTGATTCTTTAGTTAACATTAAAAGTAAAAGCATATCAAAATTTGTTAGTTTCGAAAATTCTGTCTTACATACAACACTATTGAGGAATTCCGTTCTTCCCTTCGTAAGGTAATATCTTTTGCTACTAATATTCTAGAAGGTAAACTCACCACAAAAGCTCCATAAAATTCGTATTATATTTTTAAGAAATAATTTTATTTTATGTAATTTGTTTATCTTTTTTATATTTTAATGTCATAAAAGATAGCATATGCGTTTTTTGATAAAGTAAACATGACATGCTATACGTTTAATCATTCGTTTTACATATTCTGGATCTATTTATTTACGTTATCTTTGCTATTGCATATCTTGTTTAAGAGTTCATCAATAGATGGTAATAATTAATAAATAAAGTGTATAGCAAATTAGTAAAACCCATAATAAAATTTATAATATATTGCATTTATTTATATAAATGTCTTAGGTAATGCAAGCAAAATATGTGGTGAAAATTTAAGGAAAATAAGGAGGAATTTAAGAGATTTAAGAAAGATGTAAAGGAGGAAGTCTCTTAAGATTAAAGATAGCGTGCAAGTTAATTCAAAAACTTAATTAATTTTTTATGTTCAATTATTGAACATATATATCTTTAAATTAATTCCCTTGTCTTAGCTGATACATACTGTAACTGTATCAATTTTCGATGCGACACTATGACACAAAATTTTATCAATTCAGGCAAATTATAATCTATTTTTCAAAGGTTTTGAAATTCTTCAAGAATGAATTAAACCTTTCAGGAAATATTAGTAACGATTAATAAATTAATAATTTTTGGACAAAGACGTAATTTTATATTGTAAATTGTAAATTTAATCATAGCAGTTGAAATTGACTTTATATAAGATTCCGGAAGTTCCATAATCACCATTAAAATTTCCAAAGATGGTAAAGTGCAATGGCTGAATCTCCAAAGGCTTTTTTATTACCTAAAAAATCTAACGATCGTCATAAACTCAACTCTTAACAGCTGGATTTTTTTTTTATGTAAGGACGGGAGTTATGCTGTTAGACAAGACTGTCCATTACGAGATTGGCAATTTGAATAATTCAATATTACGATTGCAGCATTTTAGCAATTATTCTGAACAACATCTTGCGTTAAAATCCTTTTTAATTTGGAAGGTGTCGCCGTTAATGATATAGTTCGTGAGGTAATGACAAAAATAACTGAATAAATACATTTGGCCATTTCTATCCAAGGATTCATGTAATGTTGATTTATTTATCTTTTAGCTTGACTTTTTACGTAATGTCAATTTTCATAATATTATTCACTTTAAGGGATTTCTACTTCAAGTAAGGTAGATTTAAATATTCAATAATAAAACGTCAAGAATAATATATACATTTTTTTCAAATGATCACTCTTTTTATTTTTTTAGATATGATATATTATTTATTATTATTATTTTTTTTCTTTATTAAACATCTTTGAAGCAATATTAGATCAATCCTTCTTGATGATCCAAAATCAGATAATTTGAGGTAAACCCTTTACGAATTAATATATTTTTTGAATGCAATTAAAAGATAATCCAGTTAAAATTAAAGATTTAAGGGAAATATATTTCTATTTTCAAATAAAGTCTAAATCACACAATTCATGCACCATACAGCGCAATCCAACTGGATGAAAGGTTGTATTTGTTCCTCCACGTAAGTTTATCAAAAATTTTTTAAAATCAGCGTATTATTTTATGGAAGATTTCACCTTTTTATGTTGAAGGGAATGTGTATTTATTTATGACATTTTGGGAGGTTTCAGTGAGTTATTCGTTCCTGATACACCGAAGATTATGTTAAGTTTATACAAGTAAATTTAATCATAATTACGATATCTAAGAAATTTTTTTTTTAGAATGACCGGATAATCGTCCATTAAGGATCAAGTAGCCACTAAATTTGAAATCAATTATTGAAACAAATAACAATATATACGATCAAACAACCAAATCCTCAATCATTAAATGATGAGCTCTAATACGACAATTATTGGTAATTTCCTACATGGAGAGCTATCTTTATTAAAAATTGTGACAAAATGATTACGAAAGAAATAAAAACTACAGCGGCATCAAAAGATAATAGTACATTTTCCGAAGAAAATTAAATGTAATTTTTGATAAAATAGTTGATTATTATTGAGCTCAATAAAGATCCGAGTAAAATCAAGAAATCAACTTATCGTCGACCATCTTCAAATTCGTTACAAAGTCTATATTTTAACTCGGATAATTCGAATATTATATTTGAAATAGATAAATATTATGTATGGTCTTATAATTGACTTTCAATTTATTATGAAAAAGCATTGATAAAAATCTGATTAAGTTGATTCGTCATACTTGAACATGCACCTGGTATCTTTATTATATCGAGAAAAATCATCTTCGTAGGGAGGATCCAATATTGATAATGCATATTCATTATAACCATCTTTCATCGAAGTTTGTCATTCTCAACGATTAGATTTAAAA